AATTTTAGGTCCATTTTATTTTTATTGTAAAATATTTTTTTATATTTTTTCATTAGTGAGAGTTTAATATAGGAATGGATGTCCAAAATTTGGTATCAAAGCAGTTTATAGAAAAAAAAATTAAAAATAAACTAATGTAGAGACGTAACATTGTGATTAAGGCAATCTTAGCCCTCCATTAAAAAATGAACGGTTGGATAAGGGAGAACATAGAACTTCTATGTTGTAAGGGGAACATAGAAAGCTTTCCCTTTTCTTATAGTAAAAATAGTAGTTATAATATCCAAAAAAAAAAAATTGAACTTGATAATGGCATTTAGATATCATGCAATGGAAATGTTTTGATAGTGTGGCAACCATATCAAAATAAATAAAGCCTCACCTTAAAACCCACCAAAATTTGCACCTCAGGAAATAAAAATTTTTTATATCAGGTTATTTTAGCTTTGACCATTATGGTTGTGAAAAAAGAAATTAGGATCTCACGCCCTAAAATCTAAGAGTTCATGGATCCACAAGATCTCTCTATGTTTTAGAGTGATTTACTTACGGACCTTAGAATTTTAGGTAAAATACAAAATGTCCAATTTATAAACAGAAATTACAAAGAAGATAGATCAACCTAATATTTTTTATTGTTTTCAAAATTGCCATACAGTCAACCCGAGTTTTGATTTTTTTAGGCGTTTTTTAGTTAGTTGAGCAGTGCGATCTTTTCCGTAATTTCGGCTTATAAGTGGAACATTTTGTACTTTACTTAAAATTGTAAGATCCGTTCATAAATCACTCTATTTTTTCATATCAAAATTCATTGTCGGTGAGGCTTTTCCTTGTTTTCATAAAGCCTAGGTCATAAAGAAACTGCGTCCATTATGTAATGCAAAAGCAGAGGGCCTAGATCTGCTCCTGCACCATCTGACGGTCCGGACCTCTTATTGCATCGTACAAGCAGGCGTAGAGAGAGAAAGAGAGACTGCCATCTGCAGTGAGAATTCCACTACTATTTGCATGAGCTTAATATAGAAATATATATCTGCATTGTTTAAAGAGAGATGCATATAAATCGGCATTTTATTTGCAAGCATGGTAATCATAATTTTCTACATATTCAAATTTCAGTAGCATGAGATGAAGAGAAAGAGAAAGAGAGAAGGTGCACGTGAGAGACAGAGATGATTATAGAATCCTGTTGATTTATTTATTTTTCATTGGCGTTGATCCTCTCTCTCTCTCTCTAAGTCTCGAGTATTGAAGCGTATGAACTACAATTATAGATATGCACGTGCCCATGGTTGATTGATTCAAGATGCTTTTGCAGTTGTAGAGAATGAGACAGAGAGAGACTTGACATGGAGAGAGAGAGTTGCAGGAGAAATAGAGAGATGGAAAGAGAATTTTTTGAGAGAGAGAGAGAGATGGGTGTTGGAATATTGGGCAGAAGGGAGA